ACATTGAGAGCTGTTTCCGTGTGGAGGCGGGGAGACTTGCAGAGGACGTGGAGGAGGAAGTTGAGAACACGGAGGTTTTGAAGGCAGCCGTGGTGGTGAATGGAGCGGAAGAGTGCGGGGGGAGAAGGGGAGGCAAGCGGTGTAGCGTGCGGAGAGGAAGAAGCGGGAGATTTTGCGGTGGAGGAAAAGTCTAATTTTGCGGCAAACATGAGGAATAATACAAATGTCTGGCCCACCGAAATTTATGGAATCCCAAACTCTTCACGCCCGTACGTTCAAAATTTCCAAAGCCTATAAATCTCTCCTATAAATCTCTCCTTACATCCATTTTCCAAAATTTCCAAAGCCTATAAATCTCTCCTTACATCCGTTTTCCAAATTTTCCAAAGCCTATAAATCTCCTGGCGCTGTCTTGTTAAATATTTTCCAAAGCCTATAAATCTCTCCTATAAATCTCCTGGAACTGTCTTGTTAAACCCAGAATTCAGCTCGAATAGAATTTAACCTGAATTATATATTAAATGCATTCACAAATGCAAAAGTTGGTGATCCCGACAGCACTTGGAATGTCACCGGTGCCGGGCATGAATGGGAGGGTGCAAGCTCATTCTCAACTGACGGCGAGATATTGGAGAGCCACAAAACTCACGTATGCTGAAATATGTGAGATGATGTTGTCAGCACACGATCAACAACAAGTGAGAGAGGTGGTAGATGCTATTGAGTTGCAACCAGGAAATGAACTTTTCAAAGGATGGCATCAATCAACATGGTATGCTGGTTTTGACGAAAACCCACTAAATTTTCAAGATGTAATAATGGGCAACTTCAGTGCAGCTTGCAACTTTAACTGTGACATTCGCGATGTCGGCATCCTAAATCAAGAAGACATGCAAGTGGAAGATGTGGCGTGGGCTAAAGCCAATGAGGTGTCAATAGAGAGATTAAATAACAAATTGAGAATATTCTCTCTCCATTCTATTGCAGCATTAAATTATGAGCCAGTAGGTAAATATCCACTTGCTGCAGTCGTAAGAGCAGTTGGTCTTGGAATTGGTTTGTTGCCCTCGACAAATTCACTATCACGTGTCGATTGGACTTTTACAATTGTTCAGCCAAGCCAAGAACATGTTGATGAACTGATTAAATTTCTTGCAGACTTTCAGCAACCCGTAGACAGAATCTCTGAAAATATTTTGGCGATGTTTGGGTTATTTCACCTTTCAAAAGACCACACTTTCATGCCTAACAACAATGATATGAATCGTATTTGCACATCTTACATTAAGACTCTAAGGACAGAAGTGAGCTCAGTTTACATCGATTCAATGTTAGCTCATAAAGAGGCAATAGTTCGTATTGGTCCACATCCATTTGGTTTGGCACAGACCTACTGGATAGCGAGGGTTTTGGGTCATCATGGGCTCTTGGCACCCCCGCTAGCATTGAGATTAGATGCAACTCCGCCGCCTGTACAAAAACTAATGATAGCAAGTGCTACAATCCGTGAATGGGCAAATCTACCTACTTGTTTAGCCATTGATAAATCTTTATGTGATGTTTATAATGCAATGCATGAGGAGATCAAGCACATCAAAAAAAACTCACCGGCGTATTCTTCCCTACATCGGCTGTATGGAATTCCTGAACAATCATTCATCAACATTAACGTCGCAACACATGTTGAAGCCTTGATGCCTACAATTCACAAGTACATCATGAATTTTCATAGAAACGAGCAAGGCGAAAGGAATGGCTTGGGGTTTGCTCAATGTTTGGGCAATATAGAGCGTAATGGAAGGGGCTTAATAAACATATAGATGAGTGTGTGACATATATGAGAGTTATAGAGTCAAGTGCATTTGTAATAATGGATTGTTGTCATGAAAATGATGTAATAACATCTATCAAATCTTTCCCTTTTTTCTTATGGATTGTTTTTTTTTTTTTGTTTATTTAATTTATAATCAAAATAGAGATTTTAAGATATCCGAATAAACCTTTTTTTTATGAAAAACAATGTATAAATCACAAACATAATTCTATATTATAATTTTGTTTGTAACTTATACCTTTAGTTCTAGTAAAAGGGTGAAAAAATGCCCCAAAAAACAAAGAAATTTACATACATAACACCTACAATATTTAATATTACATATTCCACACCTAAACTTACTTAATTGCATTTACTGGAGCTCGGAGGAGGGCAATAATTCACTGAATTCGATGGCCATCCAACCGAAAAGAGAAGCAGGCAAGAAGATCTTGAATTTATTATTGCTCCCGGATTCAAAATTGAGAAATAGAGGAGCAGAGAGTGGTCAGAGAAGCCAGAATTAGGAAGAAAATTTTTAGAAAAATAGAGAGGTTGAGTGCTCGATTTATTATTTAGTTGAGTGCCCGATTAATGCAAAACTAATTATAAGCAATGCCTTTAGATTTTTTATGAAATGAAGAAAGATTGTATGATCATTACGTTTTTTTTTATAGGAGTGAGATTAGGGACTAGAGAAATGAGCTTTGGCTTTAGTAGTGTCGAGGGTGTTGGCATTGTGGTTGAAAATTATGATAAACTCTATGTGGGGTGATGGGCATTAGCTTTCTTGAAAATAGTAGGCGACAATCTTAGCGACAACATAGACAAAATTCTTATCCGAGTTTGAAGATATCAGCTGACATGATAACATTGTCTATCGATGCTTTTGACAATGACTTATATTTCTGTTGGGGGCCATTTATGTTGTCGCCTTCATGATGATGGTGTGCAATGGGTGTTGTCGGCAATGACTCGCATAAACCTTGGTGGAACCATCATAATTGTTTGCTATTAGAAATGAATGGCTTCTACTATTATAAATAAGTTGGGCATCGGTGTTAGCCTTGGTACGATAACCCAACTTTCTCGTAAGATGAGAAGACTATTACAAGTTGTCTGGCAATATTTCACAAAATAGATATTTCAATTTAATAATAATCATGACTAGGTTAATATTTTGATTTAATAAGACTTTTGAGTTGTTTGGTTATAAAATTGTAATTTGGATATATTATAAAAATGATAAATAAAACATTGCTGTATTTTAAATGTTTTCTTTTAATTAAGTGGTTGTAAGAGCAATAAGCATATTTATTTTTTTGTGTTTGAATTGATATAATATATAAAATTTTAATATTTTTCACTACAAGAGATGTTGTCATTAGGTCCAAAAATATTATGATGAAGATATTCTAACATCGATTAATGCAATCACAAAGCTGAAATATTATTATATCCCCCTTATAGTCTTTAGGGCACTTTAGACATTGATTTCTCATATTTGAAGTCAAAAAGTTAGGCATTAGATTATATCAAACAAATCGTTCCATTGAACATAAGAAGAAGATCTTTCAAGAATTGCTCCTATATAGTCGAATATCTTAAATGTCAAATTCAAGCCGATACTATATAACTGAATACTTGAAGAAAGAACTTAAGCTGGAACAAACACGTAGCTTCACCCTTTCTGCACGACAACTAGACTAGCAAACCCAACATGCTTGTAATATAGGAAAATTCATCCATCAAAATGCAAATAGCCGCTTGTCAATTTAGCTTACTTAAATCATTTCTATTTAACATGAAAGATAATTACCTCAGTCCAAAGAGCTTTATCAAGCTATAAATTGTACTATAAAGACTTTTTTTATTGTTACTCTTCAACGAGCAATAACCAAAACTTATAAATAAGGAGTCAAATTTATAAATTACTTTAGTAACTTCTTTCACTGAACTCTTTCAATAAATGACATTAGTAGCTGGGAATCTAAGATAAAACTTCTAATATTATTAAGAACAACACAATCATTACTAGCTAAATGGGGAACTCTAAGGATAGAAGTGGTTCCATCAAAACTTATGTGGTTGCTACTAGTATCATAAACAACAAATCTTTTCTGAGGTAACATTTTATGCAATTTATCCAAACATAAAATACTATACAACAAAAAATGTAAAATAAATGTTTATACATCCCTAGAAAATTCATTAGATAATGCATGGATCACGATACAATAACTTTTTAGAATTAACTTTAGGAGGACAAATTAAACTTGAATTAAAAAAAAAAGTATAATCAAAATGAACATATCAACACGATGAGTCCAACGATTCTAAAAGTGTTTTGTTTCGATATGAGCCCAGATCAAGAATTGAAATATAGGTTGAAGCTTCTCAGTATAATTTAAGGGACTCAAAGTCTTTGAATCTTATGTATTTCTTATTAAAATGAATGTCATAAAGGTAAAAATCTAACAAGCTCAAAATAACTTAAATTTTAGTAACATTATGATAAGTTGAGAAAAATTTAACAAAATTTCAGCAGTATGATCTATTATTCTTGGTCTTAGTTCTTCAATTACCTTGATAAAAGTTGATAAAATTATTTAATTAATTATATTTTGATCTTCTTATTTTTTTACTGATTGGTTTAAAAAGCTGTTAATATCATGGAATTGCTTAGCTTTGATCATATTAGTTGGTATGACAAATCTCTTAATCCATTACCACAAATTACATCCTAATAGACTTGATAGTTGCTTTATTACTGGCTACTTTGTTTGTTGTTCATTTATTAATCCATATTGAGATTTTTTTCGAATCTATTTCTTGGCAGTTATGTGGCAATGTATGATCAATTAGTTATATCTTATATTTTTATCCCTTTATTTAGTTTATTGTCATTGGAATATTACAATTTTCTCAATGTACAACATTTACTGATCATTTATATGTTGACGTGAAAAATATTAAGGAAAATCCAAATACAGCTTCTTCACGCATGAGGAATAAGTAGCTTAGACTAACAAAAAATGTCCAACTTAGAAAAATTAGGAAGAGAAAATGCAGTGTAAAAGTATTTAATTTAAATTTCATCCACTTCCAAAGGAATTGTAATTCTCTATTTGTATTACATCTACTGTGATATAAAATTTCGTGTATCTAAAATAAACACGAGCCGCGAGCTTAGACCCCTTGGATGATTTAAAGATTATAAAAAAAAGTTGTTTATGTATCAAATAAAATGCAAATCTTGATTTTGAAAGCTATAACATTTAAGTATTCTGAAAGCTTCTTCCTGCACGTAAGGCAAAGATTAAGAATCCTTAACCATCAGCTTTCTTCATTAGCTATACAATCTGAACTCAAGTGAAAAGAAAAACTAGCGACAATGCAAACGACTCTAATAAACTAGCCAACCTCATTTGAAAAATATGATTCATATTTCACTCGGAAGCTTCATAGCCTGATCTCTCGACGCAAACGCCCAAATCTATCTTGCAACCGCAACATCTCGCGGGCAAAATCTTGATTTCCAGTTAGCAGCAACCCATTGAGCACCTTATTGAACATGAACCTCCTAGGCAAATGCCCGCACTCCACCATCTCCATCACCATCCTCCCTGCCACCACCATGTCCTCCGACTTCTTCCTGGCGAACATGCTGCTGATCACCACGTTGTATGTATCGAGATTCGGCAAACAATTACCTCCCTCCTTCATCCTCCCAAACAGCCCCAAAGCCATCTCCACCCCACCTTCTTCACACCAATGCCTTATCACAATGTTATAAGTCTGGACATTAGGCTTACATCCTTCATTTTGCATCTTCTCCATGAACTCCATAGCCCGACCCATCTCACCACCATGGCATAGCCCCCTGATCACCACATTGTAAGTAATTACGTTGGGGGTGTATCCTCTCTTCAGCATTTCGTCAAACACCAATAGTGCATTCCCGATACAGTCCTTCTTGCAGAGCACCTGTATCAAAGCATTATATGTTTCTACGGAAGGCAAGCAGCCTTCAACGATCATACTATCGAAAACTTTGCTGGCACTCTCGGTCTGGCCAGCAAGACCGAGACCATGCACCACCGTGGTATAGGACACAACATCCGGCCAACATCCTGATCCCTTCTTCCTCCCTCTCTTCTTCATTTGAAGGAAGAACTCCCATCCCTCCTTAACCTGCCCCGCCCTAAAAAATCCCTTTAGCAAGATATTGTAAGTGGTTAGCGTTGGCTCCAGGCCTGAATCCACCATTTCCTTCAGCACATCGAGAGCATTTGCGGTGCGCTTAAGACGGCACCAGCCCTCGGCGAGGATGTTGAACGTGATGGCATCGGCGCCGAAGCGGGACTTGAAGGATTTAAACAGGGAGGTAGCCTTGCGGACGCGGCGGGACTTGCAGAGGACGTCGAGGAGAGAGTTGAAAACGCGGAGATCTTGACGGCAGCCATGGTGATGAAGGGAGAGGAAGAGACGGACTGCACGGTCAGGTTTTCCGGCATTCGCGAAGCGCTCGGCTAGGAGAGAGAAAGTGCGGTGGGAGAGGGGAAGGTGAGCGGCGTTTCGAGCGGAGAGGAGAAAGCGGAGAGAGCCACGGTCGCGGAGGCGGGCGGCGATGTCGATGGCGTGGTCGAAGGAGGAGGCGGTGGGAGAGAACGAAGGGAGGCGGAGGAGGGCGCGGAAGAAAAGGAGAGCGTGGGGACCGTCGTTCCAGAGGCGTTTGAGGACGGCGTCAATGATGGAGGGTGAGAAAGTGGGGATGGGGAAGGAGGAGGAGAGAGTGGAGGTTAGGGCAGCAGGGGTGGATGAGTGGGTAAGAACGAGATTAGAGATGAGGGAGGGAAGGTCAGCGTCTTCGCCGCTGGAGATGATGGAGGAGTGGTGGCGGCGGACTCCGAGAAGGCAGCGGGAGAGCGAATGTCCGATTTGGCAAGAAAGGAGAGGCATCGGATGCGTAGTTTTACATCAGAGAAAGAGAAAAGATCAGTTAAAAATTATTCCATACGAATCAGACAATTACATGAGTTGTTCAATTTTGATAGTAAATCAGGTGATCTACGGTCTGGATGTATTTCGGTGGGCCGCATCTAAATTTTTTTTTTTTTAAAAAAAAACTGAAATAATACTGACCGTAGATACGATCAGGAACGGACACCGCATGCAGAGATGCATGCGGTGTCCGTATGCAATAATTTCTCGAGAAAAGGGCCACAAGGCGGAGCACGGAGCACCGAGCACTTACCAGGCGGGTCTGTTGTTGATTACTTAGGCTGCGTTTGGCGCAGCGTTTTTACTGTTGCGCGTTATCGTTCCGTGAATTTTTCGCCTTTGCGGCGGGCGAACATGAAACGCGTGGGGGTAACAGGGGCCCAGCTTTGTCGCAGCAGACTATCCTAAACGCAAGTGTTCCCCGAACTCGAGAAGCTCCTCCTCTTCCCCAGCAAAGAACGTCTCGCATCTCATCTTCTTACTGAGCAAAGAACGTCCTTGTCGGCACTATTTTTGGTGTCGGCACTATTTTTGGTGTGGGATTTCAATACCGATTTAAAAAAAATATAAGGTTCTATTTGTTCGAATCATTATATTTATTCTTTTCAATGGTCGACACGAAGAATAGAAGATTTATAATTTTCTTCACAACTAGAACAGGATTTTAGGAAGAATATATTTATTGTCAATAAATTTTAACAAGTTGGTAGATCAAGTCATACATAGTGAGATAAAGATTGAAGCTTTTATGGAGAAGAATTGGAAGTTGATGAATGCAAACATTCAATTACGTGGGAGTTCCAAAAAAATCAACATTTAAATCATTAGGATCAAAAGCCTAAAGGAGGCTCTTATTCTCCTCAGCTTGAGCCCATAGAAACCTGTAATTTGATTGTGGATAATTTTTTGTTTATATATGATCTTAGTCTTGAATGAAAGACCGAACTTTGAAGAATAAAAAACAATTTATCTGGAATTACTTGAGAAGGAAATTTAGAACGGTTTCAGCGTAAGATTAGTCGTTAAAAATCTCGTGGAGGCCAAAATCAAAAGCTTACTACAAAGGACAAATAAAATGGTATTATTTTTTAGCTTTAGTGACATCAATCTTAATTTATGGTACTATAGTCGTGCCAATAACATTACTGTGCTTTGTACTGCTAATAACAAACTCTAGCCCCAAATCAATAGTAACAATTGACGGGGCTTTATTTGAGTTTGGGGCAATAAATTCACTTATGTCAAATAAATTTGGACCAAGTTCATTAATTTCACAATTTAATCATGTTTGATAATTACAATATCTAATTTTTGCATGATATTTACTTATCATGATGTTGCCATTATTATTAATGAAGGTGTGCGTATGCATATCCCCCTCATTTTTAATCTCATTAGCCTAATTTGATCTAATATTGGGGTTAAATTGGATGCCTATTTATCATGTTAACCTTGCCCTTTATCCTGATTTTACTCTCAACCTTGCGTAATATCGAGTCTCTGTCATTTGCCCTACATGCATAATGATGCCAGCTTACACCCCCATGATGTTCTATGATGACAAACACAACTATGGGTGTGAAAGAGCCGAGTTTGAGAGAGCCTATTGTTTGTTTTTGTTCGACTCGTTTGAATTTTTTTTTCTTGATTTGGCTCATGTTCGAAATTGGTCATAAATAATATGTTTGTGATTTGATCGATTCAAATTTGTTTGTTTATTCAGCTTGTGTTCGACTAAAAATTAGCTCAAATTGTTTAACAAATAATAAAGTTTATTTTTTTAAAATACAACATAAAATTTTAATATAAAAATATTAAAATAATAGTATATTTATGATTTAACTAATTCAAGCGAAAAATGAGATGAACGTGATCGAACAAAAGTTTATTCGTGTTTATCTCATTTGCTTAAGGAACGAAACAAACATGAGTTATTTAGCGTGTCGAACACGAGTTATTCGCGAACAAGCTTTTTTGAAAGCCCTAATATGACAACCATGATGCCACGTTCTTTTGGATGAAATCACTTGTGACCTCCTCCCCTTACTCAATGCCACTTTGCATTTGCCTTTACAAATGCCTCACTTGTGTGATAGGACATACGACGGCGAACACAAACCCCCAACTGAGCAGGAGCGGGCCAAGCTCTTGTTTGTGTTTGATTTGCTTGAAATTATAGTTGTTCGTATTCGTCTCGTGTTTGAAATAGTTCACTAAGAGTTTGTTTATGTTCGATTCAAATTTGTTAGATATGTTTCATTTTGGCTCGTGTTCAGCTTGAAATATGAGCTTGATTAAAAAAAAATTTATAATTCTAAACATTTTTTATTTGCAAAAAATATATATGTAAGGACCAACTTTAAGCAAAATAAATTTTATTTCTTACATAATAATATTACAATTTAAAATAATGAAATTGTTACAAATATACAACCAATAATTAATATTGTATAAATTACAATTGCGGTACAAACTACAAATGACTTTTTACATTGTAATTTTGTAATTAATAGTCACATTAAAAAAAAGAAATAAAAAATTGTCACATTAACTTCATCTAACTTCTTAGCTCTAAGCCTGTAACTACAGTCATTAAATCAACATGTCTTGAGCTCTTCAAACTTGTCAAGCCTGACAAATACTTCACTGATCCATGAGGTTATCATATGACTTCCAAGAGGATCTAACCCAACCGATGAATTTCACAAGCTCAAAATATAAGGAATAAGCAGAAATTTTGAATGATGCAGCCACAAACTAACCCAAGCTTCAATAAGCAGAAAATTAAAGAAACTAAAAGGAAAGTTAAGAGTTAAGAAACAAAAGCAGCGAGTTATCACCAACCTCAATTCCCAAATATAAGTTCATTTGATTCAAAACAGATATTTCATCTCCAAATAAGTTCAAAATTTTTGCTGTAGAAAATTAAAGAAACTGAAAAGAAAGCTAAGAGTTAAGAAGCAGAGGCAGTGAAGCATCACCAATCCCAATTCCCATATGTAAGTTCATATAATTCAAAGCAGATATTTCATCTCCAAGTAAGTTTAAAATTTATGCTGCAGCCGCAAACTAACTCAAGATTCAATAAGCAGAAATTTTAAGAAACTTAAAGCAAAGTTAAGAGTTCAGAAGCAGTGATGCATCACCAATCCCAATTCCCAAATTTAACTTAATATGATTCAAAACAGATATTTCATCACCAAAAAAGTCCAACTCTTGCCTTAATTTTCATATATAACTCCCAAATGATAGAAAAAAAGATTTGTAGTGGAGGGAGATGAGCTCAGATAACACCCACCCACAATAATTAACATAAGTAATCCTTCCAGGTGATACGAAATAATCAAAATAGAAGTAATTATTTCCCAAAATGATTGATTACTTGTGTGATCTCTGGATATCATCATAAGCTTATAAAAGAATAAGATATTGTGAAGCATCAATGAACTTATAAGTCATATAATATCTGATGAGGAAACAAATATTAAAGAAAATGTCATAAGAGACTCAACAATTGATTATAAGAGCCTAAATCAAATGTCCAAAGAGCCTTAACAATTAATCACTAAAGAAAATGCTGCCAAAGTATAGAGGAAATACTCTTTTTTTAGATCCCCGCACGCTTCAAGACATTAACTTTTCAACCCACCTGCACACTTCCTAATAAAATCATCCAAATGCAGGTACAAAACATTGTCATTTTTCTCTCTATTAGTTTCACTTAAAGCACAAAAGCTTTGAGAATTTGAAAGTTACAATAATATAAAATAATTGATTTTAAGCATCCATTCAACTGAATAACAAACTCCTTATCAAATACTGGAAATTAAAAGCAAACCAAACATTTTAGAGTTAACGATTCTAGGAAAATTAAAATAAAGCAAGCTTTCTGCCTTGTTAAAACTATTCTGGTAATTTGATGGCTAGTTTCTCCTCTTCTTCTAATATCTCTTGCTAGAATAAACAGTTAACTAGAAAAAATAATGTGAAGATTGTATATATAATATCTCAAATAAGAGTTCATATATAGTATGCAATATTAAAAAAAGGATTCTAATCCAATAAGCATTCATATGTAGTATCTCAAATATATATATCGGTGTGAGGAGGTTTCAACTCAATAAAATTAGTGATTCTTTTTTGTAATTTCCAAGACTATCTATGAAATTAATAGTTAGGCTCATGTACCATATTGTCTTATTCGAAGTCCATCAATCAGAAGTCAAGTAAACCTTATGAATATTTTGAAATAAACTTTTAAATTTTCTTTTTCAATATCATACATCTTGATGCGATCATTGGTAATGGCGTTTCTAGAAACCCTCTCGTAGTTTGGGTTTAAAACCTCAATAACACATTAAATCACATGTCCTCATAAATCATAAATGGATGGTATTGCATAATAATCTTCTTAACAATAATTTTTCTGATTTTATGCTGGTCATAAACTTTGGGATAATAAAAAAAGAGTGGATCAATGTCAAAATTTCAATCATAAGGCAAAATATGTAACAATTTTTATCTTTTATCACTTGACACAATAACATTCTTGTTCTTAGCTTTGATTTTCTCATACTCTTTCGCATGCCTAAGAAGTTGTGATGTAGTATCACTTTTCAATTTGTGAAATTTAGTATGAAAACAAATGGATTGCAAAAAAAGGTAGTTGAAATTCTCTTAGATGTAAATATTGCTTCAACAAAATAATCTCATGTAGTAGATATCCTTTTTCTAGCTTTTGTAAGGGGCAACTATAATATTAGACTCAACAATGACAACATTTGTGGGTGATGAAAGAAGATTTAGATTTTCATTACTATTTTTCAACTTTCAACAATATTTCATTACCAAAAGATGCAGTTTGAGAGAGATCTAATGTGGAGATCATTAAATGGTAGGTTGATAGCCCGCTAAATAAAAAAATAACAAGTAAATAATTTGATAAACTTAAAATGATCTAAATATAATATTACAATACGA